CCACCGCGACGAACTCGATGCTTGAGAATCTGTTTGACCTGTAATCCGAGGCTGCCGTCGCGTGTAATCAATACTGGAACGCGGTTGTCACGAGTAGCAGAGTCGTCTGGCGTGTAGCGTCGTAGGCGAGATACGTGAAACTCGTCGTGCAGTTTGAGCCCTGGTGGAAGCCCGATCTGGTATGTGTCGGGTGTTGTAATCTTGACAACAGGGTATGGCCCAATGTACTTCGGAGCCAGTGATCTCTTTCCATCATTACCGACGTGGTGAAGAGCCAAGTTGGAGGTGTCGAAAAGAACTTCATCGCCGACTTGAAATGAGATAGTTGGCCGGTTGCGATCGTGATAGAACTTCATCCTCTGTTGTGCTTGTTCCAACGCGTCTTGGCACTCCGTTAGGATAGTCTGCTGCGTGTCAACGAATCGGGATGCAGACCGAGGTCTGTCGCGAGGTGGAACCACTAATTCACTGACAGAGCGCGGTAAATACCCCCAAATCAGCGACAAATGGAGCCATTCCGATGCTGTCGTGGACGCGGGAATTGTACGCGAACTCGGCCAGCGCGAGGAATTCGTTCCAATCTGTTTGGTGTGGATTTACGTAAGCTCGCAGGCTTACTGGGGCAGTCTCCAAGGTAACGATTCGTAATTTCCGTTTGGCTGTCCGTTGAAGGTTTGAAGGCGCTGCTGGGTTTTAATTTGGTATCTTGCAACTCTAGTAGTTTTGTCCAGAACTTAGACGTAAATTTTGAATCTCGATCACACAAAATAGAAGCAGGCAGTCCACGGAGACGCTGATAGTTGTCCCGGAAATTTTTTGCTGTGTCCTGCGCAGTGGCTGTTGATTTAGTCGCGACGAAATGCGCTCGCTTTGTGAAGCGATCGACGACAACCATCACAGCGTTGTAGCGATTTGGCTTGGTCTCGGGGAGTGAAGTCATGAAGTCCATAGTGATATGTTTCCACCGATCTTCTGGAATATCCAAGGGATGTAATAATCCTTGTGCCTTGCTTCGAGACGTCTTGGTCCGCATACACATTTCACACGAGGCACAGTAGGAGCGGATATCACGAGCCATTGACGGCCAATGATACTTGTTCTGCATAAACGCCAGAGTCTTTGACGAACCTGGGTATCCTCGGACAACTGAATCGTGCTCTTCGAAAAGAATGCGGTCACGAAGCTCGCAATTGTCGGGAACACAAAGGTGTCAGTCTTGCGATGGATGAGATCGGAAGTACAGTAGCGAGTCTTGGAGTTCGAAGTGATCGATGTCTACTTTCTTTGGCAGTTCAGAATGTGGTGGGACTGTGTCCTTGGAGTTCTTTGCTTGTAGTTGCTTCACGACAGGACCGAAGTAATCGTCACTCTGGTGCAGCTCGACACACTTGTCTTGTATGATGCGAGATGGCTCGTGATGCTGGCTTGCGTACAAGTGGGTTGCGACACCGTTGCTCTCGTTGCCGTCACGGATGTGTTTTAATAGTGCAGCAAGCGAAATAGCGGTTGAGTCCTGCTTCCAGTCGGGATTGCGAGAGATGAAGTCAGCTACCACGTTAGTGTCTCCTTTGAT